AGACTGGTCACCAGCCACACTGGTCAGTAGGGGTAGACTGGTCACTAGTCACACTGGTCAGTAGGGATAGACTGGTCACTAGCCACACTGGTCAGTAGGGGTAGACTGGTCACTAGTCACACTGGTCAATAGGGGTAGACTGGTCACTAGTCACACTGGTCAGTAGGGATGGACTGGTCACTAGTCACACTGGTCAGTAGGGATAGACTGGTCACTAGTCACACTGGTCAGTAGGGGTAGACTGGTCACTAGTCACACTGGTCAGTAGGGGTAGACTGGTCACTAGTCACACTGGTCAGTAGGGATAGACTGGTCACTAGTCACACTGGTCAGTAGGGGTAGACTGGTCACTAGTCACACTGGTCAGTAGGGGTAGACTGGTCACTAGTCACACTGGTCAGTAGGGGTAGACTGGTCACTAGTCACACTGGTCAGTAGGGATAGACTGGTCACTAGTCACACTGGTCAGTAGGGGTAGACTGGTCACTAGTCACACTGGTCAGTAGGGGTAGACTGGTCACTAGTCACACTGGTCAGTAGGGGTAGACTGGTCACTAGTCACACTGGTCAGTAGGGATAGACTGGTCACTAGTCACACTGGTCAGTAGGGGTAGATGTGTCACTAGTCACACTGGTCAGTAGGGGTAGACTGGTCACCAGCCACACTGGTCAGTAGGGGTAGACTGGTCACTAGTCACACTGGTCAGTAGGGGTAGACTGGTCACTAGTCACACTGGTCAGTAGGGGTAGACTGGTCACTAGTCACACTGGTCAGTAGGGGTAGACTGGTCACTAGGCACACTGGTCAGTAGGGGTAGACTGGTCACTAGTCACACTGGTCAGTAGGGGTACACTGGTCACTAGTCACACTGGTCAGTAGGGGTAGACTGGTCACCAGCCACACTGGTCAGTAGGGGTAGATTGGTCACTAGTCACACTGGTCAGTAGGGGTAGACTGGTCACTAGTCACACTGGTCAGTAGGGGTAGACTGGTCACTAGGCACACTGGTCAGTAGGGATAGACTGGTCACTAGTCACACTGGTCAGTAGGGGTAGACTGGTCACTAGTCACACTGGTCAATAGGGGTAGACTGGTCACTAGTCACACTGGTCAGTAGGGATGGACTGGTCACTAGTCACACTGGTCAGTAGGGATAGACTGGTCACTAGTCACACTGGTCAGTAGGGGTAGACTGGTCACTAGTCACACTGGTCAGTAGGGGTAGACTGGTCACTAGTCACACTGGTCAGTAGGGATAGACTGGTCACTAGTCACACTGGTCAGTAGGGGTAGACTGGTCACTAGTCACACTGGTCAGTAGGGGTAGACTGGTCACTAGTCACACTGGTCAGTAGGGGTAGACTGGTCACTAGTCACACTGGTCAGTAGGGATAGACTGGTCACTAGTCACACTGGTCAGTAGGGGTAGACTGGTCACTAGTCACACTGGTCAGTAGGGGTAGACTGGTCACTAGTCACACTGGTCAGTAGGGGTAGACTGGTCACTAGTCACACTGGTCAGTAGGGATAGACTGGTCACTAGCCACACTGGTCAGTAGGGATAGACTGGTCACTAGTCACACTGGTCAGTAGGGGTAGACTGGTCACTAGTCACACTGGTCAGTAGGGATAGACTGATCACTAGTCACACTGCTCAGTAGGGGTAGACTGGTCACTAGTCACACTGGTCAGTAGGGATAGACTGGTCACTAGTCACACTGGTCAGTAGGGATAGACTGGTCACTAGTCACACTGGTCAGTAGGGATAGACTGGTCACTAGTCACACTGGTCAGTAGGGGTAGACGTGTCACTAGTCACACTGGTCAGTAGGGGTAGACTGGTCACCAGCCACACTGGTCAGTAGGGGTAGACTGGTCACTAGTCACACTGGTCAGTAGGGGTAGACTGGTCACTAGTCACACTGGTCAGTAGGGGTAGACTGGTCACTAGTCACACTGGTCAGTAGGGGTAGACTGGTCACTAGGCACACTGGTCAGTAGGGGTAGACTGGTCACTAGTCACACTGGTCAGTAGGGGTACACTGGTCACTAGTCACACTGGTCAGTAGGGGTAGACTGGTCACCAGCCACACTGGTCAGTAGGGGTAGATTGGTCACTAGTCACACTGGTCAGTAGGGGTAGACTGGTCACTAGTCACACTGGTCAGTAGGGGTAGACTGGTCACTAGGCACACTGGTCAGTAGGGGTAGACTGGTCACTAGTCACACTGGTCAGTAGGGATAGACTGGTCACTAGTCACACTGGTCAGTAGGGGTAGACTGGTCACTAGTCACACTGGTCAATAGGGGTAGACTGGTCACTAGTCACACTGGTCAGTAGGGATGGACTGGTCACTAGTCACACTGGTCAGTAGGGATAGACTGGTCACTAGTCACACTGGTCAGTAGGGGTAGACTGGTCACTAGTCACACTGGTCAGTAGGGGTAGACTGGTCACTAGTCACACTGGTCAGTAGGGATAGACTGGTCACTAGTCACACTGGTCAGTAGGGGTAGACTGGTCACTAGTCACACTGGTCAGTAGGGGTAGACTGGTCACTAGTCACACTGGTCAGTAGGGGTAGACTGGTCACTAGTCACACTGGTCAGTAGGGATAGACTGGTCACTAGTCACACTGGTCAGTAGGGGTAGACTGGTCACTAGTCACACTGGTCAGTAGGGGTAGACTGGTCACTAGTCACACTGGTCAGTAGGGGTAGACTGGTCACTAGTCACACTGGTCAGTAGGGATAGACTGGTCACTAGCCACACTGGTCAGTGGGGATAGACTGGTCACTAGTCACACTGGTCAGTAGGGGTAGACTGGTCACTAGTCACACTGGTCAGTAGGGGTAGACTGGTCACTAGTCACACTGGTCAGTAGGGATAGACTGGTCACTAGTCACACTGGTCAGTAGGGATAGACTGGTCACTAGTCACACTGGTCAGTAGGGATAGACTGGTCTCTTGTCACACTGGTCAGTAGGGATAGACTGGTCACTAGTCACACTGGTCAGTAGGGGTAGACTGGTCACTAGTCACACTGGTCAGTAGGGATAGACTGGTCACTAGTCACACTGGTCAGTAGGGGTAGACTGGTCACTAGTCACACTGGTCAGTAGGGGTAGACTGGTCACTAGTCACACTGGTCAGTAGGGGTAGACTGGTCACTAGTCACACTGGTCAGTAGGGATAGACTGGTCACTAGTAACACTGGTCAGTAGGGGTAGACTGGTCACTAGTCACACTGGTCAGTAGGGGTAGACTGGTCACTAGTCACACTGGTCAGTAGGGGTAGACTGGTCACTAGTCACACTGGTCAGTAGGGATAGACTGGTCACTAGCCACACTGGTCAGTGGGGATAGACTGGTCACTAGTCACACTGGTCAGTAGGGGTAGACTGGTCACTAGTCACACTGGTCAGTAGGGGTAGACTGGTCACTAGTCACACTGGTCAGTAGGGATAGACTGGTCACTAGTCACACTGGTCAGTAGGGATAGACTGGTCACTAGTCACACTGGTCAGTAGGGATAGACTGGTCTCTTGTCACACTGGTCAGTAGGGATAGACTGGTCACTAGTCACACTGGTCAGTAGGGGTAGACTGGTCACTAGTCACACTGGTCAGTAGGGATAGACAGGTCACTAGTCACACTGGTCAGTAGGGATAGACTGGTCACTAGTCACACTGGTCAGTAGGGGTAGACTGGTCACTAGTCACACTGGTCAGTAGGGATAGACTGGACACTAGTCACACTGGTCAGTAGGGATAGACTGGTCACTAGTCACACTGGTCAGTAGGGGTAGACTGGTCACTAGTCACACTGGTCAGTAGGGATAGACTGGTCACTAGTCACACTGGTCAGTAGGGGTAGACTGGTCACTAGTCACACTGGTCAGTAGGGATAGACTGGCCACTAGTCACACTGGTCAGTAGGGATAGACTGGTCACTAGTCACACTGGTCAGTAGGGATAGACTGGTCACTAGTCACACTGGTCAGTAGGGATAGACTGGACACTAGTCACACTGGTCAGTAGGGATAGACTGGTCACTAGTCACACTGGTCAGTAGGGATAGACTGGTCACTAGTCACCCTGGTCAGTAGGGATAGACTGGTCACTAGTCACACTGGTCAGTAGGGATAGACTGGCCACTAGTCACACTGGTCAGTAGGGATAGACTGGTCACTAGTCACACTGGTCAGTAGGGATAGACTGGTCACTAGTCACACTGGTCAGTAGGGATAGACTGGACACTAGTCACACTGGTCAGTAGGGATAGACTGGTCACTAGTCACACTGGTCAGTAGGGATAGACTGGTCACTAGTCACCCTGGTCAGTAGGGATAGACTGGTCACTAGTCACACTGGTCAGTAGGGGTAGACTGGTCACTAGTCACACTGGTCAGTAGGGATAGACTGGACACTAGTCACACTGGTCAGTAGGGATAGACTGGTCACTAGTCACACTGGTCAGTAGGGGTAGACTGGTCACTAGTCACACTGGTCAGTAGGGATAGACTGGTCACTAGTCACACTGGTCAGTAGGGGTAGACTGGTCACTAGTCACACTGGTCAGTAGGGATAGACTGGCCACTAGTCACACTGGTCAGTAGGGATAGACTGGTCACTAGTCACACTGGTCAGTAGGGATAGACTGGTCACTAGTCACACTGGTCAGTAGGGATAGACTGGACACTAGTCACACTGGTCAGTAGGGATAGACTGGTCACTAGTCACACTGGTCAGTAGGGATAGACTGGTCACTAGTCACCCTGGTCAGTAGGGATAGACTGGTCACTAGTCACACTGGTCAGTAGGGATAGACTGGTCACTAGTCACACTGGTCAGTAGGGGTAGACTGGTCACTAGTCATACTGGTCAGTAGGGATAGACTGGTCACTAGTCACACTGGTCAGTAGGGATAGACTGGTCACTAGTCACACTGATCTTTAGTTATAGGTTTTACTGTAGTCCTTAAAAAAAATGTACTCACCTTGTTGAATGGTGGTAACAGCTGCTGAGACACGTGAAACCTTATCATTAGTGTCTTGCTGCTGCTCCAGTAGTTGTCCAATGCTTGTTGAGGTTGTAGCACTTTGCTCCTGCAGTTGACTGATGTTGTTGGTGAGAGAATCATTTTTAGTCGAATCCAAACAAGCAACAGCAACCATCACAATGAAGCCAGAAAGCAACAGCAAACGAAGGTATATGCCAATGGTGGTGGTGGTCTTAAGAATTTCCTCCTGCAGTTGACCAATGTTGGTGGTGGTATTGCGGCTTTGCTCCTGCAGTTGACCAATGTTCGTGGTGGTGTTGCGAATTTCCTCCTGCAGTTGACCGACCGCTGTGTTGGTCTGGGCGTGTACCTGCACTATCCGCTCACATGATGCTGTTGTATCTAGTTCAACTGAAGTAAATATTTCAGTGACATACACATGTGCACACAACACACACACACACACACACACACACACACACACACACACACACACACACACACACACACACCCACACACACACACATACACACACACACACACACACACACACACACACACACACACACACACACACAAGGGACACGGGCAGGTTTATTTAACCTTCAACGGGCTGGCAGTTGGCCTCGCCGGCCGCTCATGACATCGGCCCACGGTAGGCAGCAGCAGGCTAGTCCTCGGTGGGCTGATCGTGTGTCTGCCCCCCCCCCCCCCCCCGTGGGCAATGTGGATCACTGATGATTGAATGTGATGATATGACTCAACTATTATCGTTTGCTTTCTTCGAACTCGTCTATCATCACAATGTCATACTAATAAGTCGTGGGAACCCCCGAACCCTATGTGTCAATTGCTGTGAGTGTGCATGTGGATACGTCGTTGTATGCACAGACGGGGCGTGGGAATATCTGCAACTATGTTTGTGCACATGGATGTGTGTCGTGTGTGTGTGTGTGTGTGTGTGTGTATGTGCATGTGTGCGCACGTATGAGCTTATACGCTAGCATGCCTTGGTGTGTATTACCTTGTACCCGTGGGCATGGGCTAAATTTCTGTAAACTTGCCTTTCTCCAGTCTCTGCGAAAGTACACCGAGATGTTGCTGTGTTTTATCTTGTTGATCTGTGATAGCTTGTTGAGATGCAGTTAGTGCGGCCATTGATGATGAGATCTCTGTCAACTTAGCCAGGACAGTGGTGATGTCAGTGGAAGGAATGTCTCTCTTCAATGCTTCCATCTGAAACACAATGTACATTCATCAAGACATTAGAAAATACTGATATGACTGAGTGTCACTGGATAACAGATACACAATAATGAGACATAAAAGTGGCATAGCAGCATAACAGTGACATCACAATGGGCACATTTGATTACACACATTTCAGTAATCAGTTTTGTTGGATGCCCCGTTCGATTACACTATTTCCGTTGTCAGAATCGACGGAATTCAATTCCGTAAAGCCAATCCATTCTGAAGGGAGCGTGGAATTGCTAAATCTCCCGCCAGAATTAATGCACTCAAGATACATGTACAAGCCATACTAGGTGCATGTGCGTGCGATAGTGTACGGGATCCCAAGTGATTCCCTTTTACGATTTTTACGTATAGTGGATTGTTTACATGGCAACAATCCGGATTTATAAAACCAGGGTCCAGACTGTGTAAGAGAAAGCACCCAATGACATCACCGTGAAATTACAAAGCCATCACAGTATAACAGTGACACCACAGTGACATCACAATGACATCATAGTGAAAAGGCAGTAACATAACAGTGACATCACAGTGACATCACAGTGACATTACAATGACATCACAGTGACATCATAGTGAAAAGGCAGTAACATAACAGTGACATCACAGTGACACCCCACTGAAATCACAATGACATCACCGTGACATCACAGTGATATCATAGTGTGCAGGCAGTAACATAACAGTAAGACGAAAGTGAGGGAGCAGTAACATTCTAGTAATTCTGAACTTAGAAAGAAGGTCACAGTTAGGTACTAATGAGTTGTACAGCTCTAACTGCCACCACAGATTTGACCCCTGCTCTAAGTTAACCCTTTAAGAGCCGCCCCATACTTGAATGCGTCGTAAACGACGCATTCAAGTGCAAAACTTCAAAAGATCGTAACTCAGTCCAATCTCGCTCAAATCCAGTGATCGAAATATCCAGGGCGAAGAGAAAACTCTCACCTGTCGGGAGAATCAATCCGCGAAGCGCTGCGAGCAACGGTTCCTGAGATAAATCACTCGTAAGTTGAGCCGCGATCGCGGCAAGTTCAAAAGCGCGCAGTGCGGCTTTAGTATTGAGAATTTTGAGACTTTTCGTCGCGCTGGTTTACTCGAATTTTCACGGGTTTCACTGCTGACATTGTCAAGAGTACACAGCGAAAAAATTGGAACTCTACGATCGAGTAAAATGAAATATCTGGAGCGGGACGCAATTGGACGCATTTGGGACATTTTTCGTACTGTCGCTGCGATCTAGCGCTGGATAGACGGTGTGCTGGTTATCATGATCGACCTCATTCTCTTCCTCTCGCGGAGACCTTTCCAGGAAGCCCTAGATTGTGAGGATTGAGTGAGTAGAACTGAAGCTATGATCCAAGGAACACGAAAAAATTCAGAATCTTGAACTTTTCCTGTGGCTCTTAAAGGGTTAAAATGATCTCATCGTCATGTATGGCTCTATGCATTCCTATGCATCACACACACACACACACACACACACTGTATTAGAAAAAAGTCTTTTAAGTCTTGGGTGTTGTGTGATCAACTAAAGAAACTCCCCAGCTGAATCTGCCCTCTAAGTTCCCCCTCTTTGAATTTGAAAAAAATCAAATTTTGTTTTCCTCGAGAAAACTGTTTTTTTGTGACCTTACTTGACCTCTTGAAGGTGGTACAGGGCACCAAAGTAGTCAAAAAATACCCAAACAACGCTTCTAAAATATATACTTTGAAACAGAAAATGACACAGAGACAAACTTGAGGCTTTTGTGGAGGAGCACAATACAAAGGAACTAAAGTTGATGACACAGACTTGAGCATGTCAACGACATCAGTTCCAAGTCAGGAACCTACTTCTTACTGCAAAGCAACATGATCCTCTGGGCGGCGTTGCACTTGCATACTCTTTCGATTCTGGTAGTGACACCTTTTGTTGTCACCTGCACTTTCGAGAGTGCGTCAGACGACGACTGTTGAGAGCTGAATGGCATGTAACGTCGTAAGGCAGTTTATCCTCTAATGTACTCACCCACAACTTGTACCTCTTAGCCTACTGGGGGCGACAGGGGCGATTCAGCTCCTTTGGCAACATCAACATCTCTGAGATCCCCAAAAATTGTCATCATCGCTAGCCAGTGCAGGCTAAATTTTATTTTTCAAGGAAACCCTTCGACCAATCGATTCAGCATGGCATTTTCATTCCTCCTGCAAAGTTTCAGCTGATTTGGAGTCATGACAAGGACGCTATGGCGATTTGAAGATCGAAAAACTTCACTTTTGTTTGTCAAGAAGAAAGATCATGATCGCACACAAATCATACAACCCGTGTGGCACAATGATTTTTGAACAAAGTTGATCCGCGGACCCCGTGCTTCGCGCATGCATGCATGCATACTGCATGCATACTGCACAGTACAGAGGCTTTTTTGAACGCGGATATGTAGTTCTTCGTCTTCGAAATGTCTTCCAAATGCGTGGTGCTGGTGTTGTTCTCAGCTTCGTCAAGGCAGAATGCAGCTGCATGTGATGCTCCTGTGTGTTCATGCATGTTCTCTTTTCGCGTCTCGACATTGTAGCGTCCAGACTCTGCTCGACTGGAGAAGATGGAGGAGACTATGCTTTGATCCACATGGAAAAATCGATGAAATTTGGTAATTATCGTCGGGCGCTAAAAAGCGCTGGGGAGCATGGGGCTAAAACTTCGTAGCAGTCATCCCTACCATGACAGGCATCGACTGGTTCCATTCTGTTCCCAACCACTACGGGTAGTCTGCGAAGCTTTCTTCTTCGCTGATTCTCGGACAGATCGTACGTCTTCGCACTGTATCTCTCGTCTCCCTCAACGGATCAAAACACGGTTTTCGCCAGGACGAACACAAACCCCCAGATTTCGCGGCGGCAACAACTTCGAGTAGGGAAAAGCTAGCAGCTAACCAGGAATCACCAAAAAACACGTGTAATACTCAGTGTGATTTGCGACAGCTGTCATTGTGCCGTCGCACCATGCATGTACCATGCACGGGAATGGAACACGGATGAGTCGTTTTATTACGACAGCCTGCACTGGCTATCATCGCTCTACAGACCCACCGCCACGGCCTTGCTGACTACTGACCAAACCTGCGCCATGCACAGCGATCATCTGGCCCTGCAAGTGGTTCTAGTATCACTAGATACGGACATTGACTAATCTATGCAAGCGAGCTACTTGAACTATTAATTTTGTTAGACCACCAAACAACTGTTTGAACAAAATTTGAGAAAATGGCCGCCGGCCAGCGCCCATTCCGGTTCATGACTGAAGCGCAGCGTGAATACGCTCGACAATAACGTGTTGTTTTTTCACGGCTGAGCGTAGCGAAAGAGTGTAAAAACGTATTTTCACTCACCATTTTTCTGTCTTGCTCTGCTGCTCTTCCACTGCGCAACTCTTCCCCACCTGCCATCGTGGTCTCGTATTCCTCGTAGAGCGTGGAGTTTTTGACGTCCAGAGATCTAAGTAATAAATTATGCCGTCCACTCGCAGCCAAGGAACCGCGGCTCCTGTAGCTCATCCTGAGCCTGCCAGGACCGCCAGACGACGCCAAGCCGCCACCTCCGCCACCTCACCTGCCCCACCAACACCAAGCTCGGCAGTTGAGGAGATGGCTTCAATGATCCATAGTTCCTCGTGCCATGCTCGCTTCGTATCCTGGCGTGGTCGCCAAATGTTGTGAACCACAAGTTCTCGAGAATGAAAGGCCTTCTCGCTTGTGACATTGTGTTCGCTTCAATGCAGTTGTATCCCGACTCCGCCGTACCGCTGATGATTACGACGTAGTAGACGCTACATGCGCTATGTGCGGTTTGCTGTGTGCGCTGTAGTTGTATGTTGTATGTGTATGCTTTTCTCATTTATGCTGTCATTTTCACGTTATAAGTACCTGGTGGTTTTAGTGTTAGTTTTTCATTCATTCATTGTTCATTGTTGTTAGTCGATGGAAGTGAAATATACTGTTGAGAATAAATAGTTGTCCTCGTGCCGTGCAGGGTCGTTCGTTCCTGACACTTTAGAGAACCAGAGGGTTCACAACATTTGGCGACCACGCCAGGATACGAAGCGAGCATGGCACAGGAACTATGGATCATTGAAGCCAGCTTTATCGCTAGCGGAATTCGGTATGGATTTGAAGGCGATACGTTGAGAGAATACGTGGAGAAGAAGCTCCGACATAGCAAGGAGTTTGAAGAGCGCAGTGATAGAGGGCAAGAGGGTGCGCTCCGCACAGAGTTTGACGAAAAGCTCAAGAAGATGAACGAGCGCATCGCCAGCAGTAAATATGAGGCAGCAAAGCGAGATTTGCTTGCCTCACGCGAAAGGACGCCGGACAAGGCGTGTAAGACCTTGCTTACAGACAAGCAGCGGTCAGAGGAGAATTCGAAGCCATTGGGAGGATCAGATCTAAGGCCCACTGCGTCGGTGCAGTGCATGGCAACATCGGTCGGAGACGCTCAGAAGCAGGTGGAGTCTCGGTCGAATAGCCTCGAGGCGCAAGACGTCGAGGCGCAAGACGTAGAGGTGCAAGACGTAGAAGCGCAAGACGTAGAAGCGCAAGACATAGAAGAGCAAGACGTAGAAGAGCAAGACGTAGAAGCGCAAGACGTAGAAGCGCAAGACTTAGAAGCGCAAGGCGTAGAAGCTGAGGAAATGAGAAGGGCGATACTGGCTAGCACGGAAGAAGTAAGCGGCGAGACTGTGTGGAACACGGAGATCGAATGTAGGTTATCTGGTCCAGCGTCCGGCCCACGAGGCAGTGGCCCAGTGACTGTGTTGTGTGTGACAGCCCAGATCGGCAAGCTTAGTGTTGAGAATGTTGAGGTGAAGCCGTTCCGTGCGGAATCAAGCCAACAGGGGATGGACAAGTTCGCCATCACGATCCTGGGTAGCTCGGCAGTCATTCCGGTATGTGCTCTCGTGAAGCCAACATTAGAGCTTCATCTGAAGCTCGCAAGCCCGC